TTTGGTCCGGTCGTGGGGCCTGAACTCTGGGCCTGGGTGCTGTCCCTCAGCTCTTCAGCTCAAGACAAGCACTCTACCACTGAGCCACCTCCCCAGCCCAAGGTTGAGACTCATCTCCAATTAACCAATTAACCTCCAGGAAACCAGGTGGAAACTGGAAGTAAAGTAGACCCAGAGTTGTAGAGTACAAGCCTGAAGCAAAAGAGCTCAGGGACAGTTCCCAGGCCCTGAGTTCAAGCCCCATAGCAGACATAAAAATAACAGTAGATTACTTCTCTTCAGATCAGTTGTTATAAAAAGTGAGGCTTGGCCAAGCACTGGTGGCTCACGCCTGTAATCCTAGCTACTCAGGAAGCTGAGATCTGAGGATCTTGGTTCAAAGCCAGTCTGGGCAGGAAAGCCCATGAGACTCAGCTCCAATTAGCCACCAGAAAACCAGAAGTGGTGCTGTGGCTCAAATAGCAGAGCGCTTCCTTTGAGCTGAACAGTTCCAGGACAACACCCAGAGTTCAAGCCCCATGACTGACAAAAGTGAGGCTTGCTCTTCTTCTTTGCATGCATGCCCATCAGAGCTGAACAGAGGCCAATGCCATATTCTTGAACCTATAGAACAGTGAGCTTAATTCATCTCTTTTCTTTATAACTTATCCAGCCATTGGGTATTCTGTCACAGTAATGTTTAACAGACTAAACACAGTCTGTTAAGAGAGGCCAGATACTGCTCCCAGAGTACCTGTCTTCCCTGCTTCCTCCTCCTGCTGCTGCCCAGAGGGACTGGTGTTCAGGACCCTTGGCTCTGCCCTCTGTCACCATTCCTAATTGGCATAGAGAAGATTACAGAGGATTACACTGGAAACAGCTCACCCAAGATACAGGGGAGAAACTGAGGCACAGTTAACAAGTAGTTGAGAAGCGGTGTCCCTTAACCCTGTCAGAAGGCAGGATCTCCCTGAGAACCCTTGAGGGATCCAGAGTGTTTGGAATCCATTTTTGTCTTCTATGTGAAGGTCACAGGTTTGGGTCCAAGTTCTCTTGGTCTGAGGCTGCTTCATCCTCTGGAGACTCCTGTATCAGAGGCAGAAAAGCAGGTAAAGACTCTACTGCCCAAAAGGCCACAATCTGGAGGCCAGCCTCTCTTCCCTCCTATATACCAATACTCAGAATTGTTTGTGTGTGGGAGTGTGCGCCAGTATTGGGGCTTGAACTCAGGACCTGGGAGCTGTCCCTGAGAGCCACAGCTTCACTTCATGCTAGAGATAAGAGTTTCATGTGGAGGACTGGGAAGGTGGCTCAGTGGTAGAGCACTTGCCTTGCATGCCTGAGGCCCTGGGTTCGATTCCTCAGCACCACATAAGCAAAAAAGAAAAAAGCTGGAAGTGGCACTGTAGCTCAAGTGGTAGAGCGCTAGCCTTGAGCTGAAGGGCTGAGGGACAGCGCCCAGGCCCAGGGTTCAGGCCCCACAACCCGACAAAAAAAAAAGAATTTCATGTGGAGCTGAACACTAGAATCCTAGCTACTCAGAGGCTAGATCTGAGGATTACAGTTCAAACCCAGCCTGGGCAGAAAAGTCTGAGAGATTCTTATCTCCAATAACCTACTCAGAAAAAGCCAGAAGTGGCTCTGTGGCTCAAGTGATAGAGTCTTAGCCCTGAGCACAAAGAGGCTCAGGATCAGTGCCCAGACCCTGAGTTTCAAGCCCCAGGTTCAGCCAAAAAATAAATAAATAAATAAAAGTTTCATGGGCTTTTCTGCCTAGGCCAGCTTTGAATCATCATCATTAGATCTCAGCCTCCTGAGTAGCTAGGATTACAAGGGTGAGCCACCAGGGCTGGCTTTGCTATTCAGGATTCTACTGGGCTTTCCTTCTGTCCTGTCGTAACTCCCAGCCTCTCCCATTCACAGGGCCCACCATTGGGTGACCTCTTACCAGACTGAGACCCCTGCGCTGCTGTAGGGTAGTATAAAAATGTAGCACGCGGGGATCACAGCGAACCACCATGGGGTCAAAGTCCAGCACACGTAACCCCTGTAGGCTGCGTGCCCGGGAAAGGGCCACGTACGCTTGACCACTGGCAAACACACGGCCCAGCGAGATCTCCACACAGTCCAGAGACATGCCCTGAAAAATGGAAGGACAGAGATGGATCCAGATTAGCCTGAAGTCCCTTGTGCCCACCTTTACCAGCCAGCTACAGCTCCTGAGGACCCTCCCCTAGTCTAGAACGTCTCCAGGAGGGCTGGGAATGTGGCTTAGTGGTAGAGTGCTTGCCTAGCATGCAGGAAGCCTTGCATTCAAATCCTTAGTACCACAGAAAAAGCCAGAAGTGGCACTGTGGCTCAAGTGGTAGAGCACTAGCCTTGAGCAAAAGAAGCTCAGGGATAGTGCCCAGGCCCTAAGTTCAAGTCGCAGGACTGGCAAAAATAAGAACAGCTCAACTGAACGTGAGGGGACCAGGAGATAGGATAAAAGGGGAAGGGCTGGAGCAGGAAAGAAGGGTTTAGGCTCTGGGCCTAACAGATGTGCAGCTGCATTCAGGCTTTGCCTCTCACTACCCCAAATTCCCTGGGATGAATTCCTTCACTCTTTCTATAAAGTGGGCGTGGTTTAATTAATACAGTTACAAAAACTTGAGATGGGGAGAGAAGGAGGTGGTTATTATTATTATTATTATTGCCAGTTGTGGGGCCTGAACTCTGGGCCTGGGCGCTGTCCCTTAGCTCTTCAGCTCCAGGCTAACGCTCAACCACTTGAGCCACAGCGCCACTTCTGGCTTTTTCTGCTTCTGTGGTGCTGAGGAATCGAACCCAGGGCCTCATGCATGCAAGCCAAGCGCTCTATCACTGAGCCACCTTCCCAGCCCAGGAGGTGGTTTTTGCTGGAGTGGGCACTTATTTTGCTTATTTGCCAGTCACAGGGCTTGAACTCAAGACCTTGACACTGTCTCTGAGCTTCTTTTGCTCAAGGCTAGCGCTCTACCACATGAGCTGAGGAACTGAACCCAGGGCCTTATGCATGCAAGGCAAGCGCTCTACCACTGAGCCACCTTCCTAGCCCAGCTTTTTTTTTTTTTCCTCAAGTCTGTTAGTCTACTACTTGAGCCATAGCTCTACTTCTGCTTTTTTGCTGGTCAATTGGAGAAAAGAATCTCTGGGATTTGTCTGCCTAAGCTAGCTCTGAAACTTGATCCTCAGATCTCAGCCTTCTGATAGCTAGAATTATAAGCACAAACCACTGAGAACCAGCTAATCTAATCTGGAACTTCCTTTCTTCCTTTCTTTTTTGTGGGTTGTGGGGGCTGAACTCTGGGCCTGGGCGCTGTCCTTCAGCTCTTCAGCTCCAGGCTAACGCTCAACCACTTGAGCCACAGCGCCACTTCCAGCTTTTTTCTGCTTCTGTGGTGCTGAGAAATCGAACCAAGGGCCTTATACATGTGAGGCAAGCACTCTACCATGGAGCCAACCTCCTAGCCCTAACCTGGAACGTTCTATCCAGGACAAATTCATTCCCCACCCATAAGACCTTCAAACCTATTTCCCTCAGTGTATTTTGCGCTCACTCTACACTGGGTAATCACCTGGCTTTTGTGGATGGATAGTGCCCAGGCCAGCTGGAGGGGCAGCTGCTGCCGGCTGAGGAAGTGGCCCCCGGTAGTCTGCACTGTCCAGCGCTCTGCGTGGATGACCTCAGTGATTCCACACAGGAACCGTACCTGGGGCAGCCCTGAGGAAAGCATGATCAAGTCAGACCTGCCTGAGAGGGTAGGAATTAGGGGCCTCTAGCCTTTTCCTCCCCACGTTTACCCTGTAGAGTTGCTCTGCTGGAAATCTGAGCAGCACCCTTCACTCACCTCTTCCCTCTGCCTCGAACCCCACTACCACCCCTCGGGCGCCATTCACCAGACCTCGAGACACTGCCAAGTTCTTCACCAACATCACCTGCAGGGGAGGAAGTAGAGAAGGGGCCACCCTGGACTGGGCTCATCCCCATTAGTTCTGCAACTCATTGTGACAAATGCATGTGACAAACCCTTCTTGAGACTCTGCTTTCCTTTCTGTCAGAGGTGGATTGCGTTTGCTCAATCAATACCTCAAGGTGGAAAAGGTATGTCACAAGGCTTCAAAAAGGGTCAGATCAGCTGGGCACTGGTGGCTCATTCCTATAATTGTAGCTCTTCAGGAGGCTGAGATCTGAGGATCGCAGTTCCAATCCAGCTCAGGCATGAAATTCCATGAGAATCTTATCTCCAATTTCAACAAGAAAACTAGAAGTGGCACTATGGCTCAAAGTAGTAGAGTGCTAGACTTGAGCATAAAAGTTCAGGGACAGGACTGGGGAGGTGGCTCAGTGGTAGAGCGCTTGCCTTGCATGCCTGAGGCCCTGGGTTCGATTCCTTAGCACCACATAAGCAAAAAGAAAAAATCCGGAAGTGGCGCTGTGGCACAAGTGGTAGAGCTCTAGCCTTGAGCTGAAGAGCTGAGGGACAGCGCCCAGGCCCAGAGTTCAAGTCCCACAACCGGACCCAAAAAAACAAAGCTCAGGGACAGTATGCAGGCTCTGAGTTCAAGCCCCAGGACTGACAAAAGAAAAGAGTCAGATCTATTATGGGGGCTACAGGTCTTAAGAGATGGTTTCTAGGTGCCAGGTGCTGGTGGCTCACACTTGTAGCTACTCCAGAGGCTGAGATCTGAGGATTGTAGATCAAAGCCAAGCCAGGTGGGAAAGTCTGTGAGAAAAAGCTGTTTTTGTTTATGTGGTACCAAGGAATCAAACCCAGGGCCTCATGAATGCTAGGGAAGCACTCTACCACATTCCTAGCCCTCCCTTAGCTTTGTTACTCAAGGCTAGTGCTCTACCTCTTGAGCTACAGCTCTACTTCTGGCTTTTTGCCAGTTAATTGGAAATAAAGAGTTTCATGCCACTTTCCTGCCCAGGTTGGATGTGAATTGCAGTCCTCAGATCTCAGCCTCCTGAATAGCTACAATTACAGGCATGATCCACTGGCAAGCAGCTAGGGAGGGAGATGTTTTTTGTTGTTGTTGATCATGGGGCCTGAACTCTAGGCCTGGGCACTGCCCCCTCAGCTCTTCAGCTCAAGGCTAGCGCTCTACCACTAGAGCCACAGTGCCACTTCCTACTTTTTTTTTTTTTTTTGCTTGTCTGGTGCTGAGGAATTGAACCCAGGGCCTCATGCATGTGAGGCAAGCACTCTACCACTGAGCTACCTTCCCAGCCCAGGAGGGAGGTTTTGATGTGGTCACAGGTCTCCCCAGTAGCTACAAAGAGGCCTGGGCAGAGGGGTAGTACCAAGAAGTACTTAAGAAGAACAGCCCAGGCTTCTAGGGTCTAGACCTTGCTTCTCACCTACCTGGGCCCCTTGCTTTAGCTGAAGGAGCCGGCTAACAGGACACTGGGCATCCAAGGTCCGGGCTAGCTCAGGATCACTGTCCACAGCCTCAAAGCTATGAACTTCACCTGGAAAAAGAGAGTTGGGAAAACATTATCAATCACTGGCTTGTGGTTCAGCTGCCAAAAGTACATATTGGGCCAGGGCATGGTCTGAAGGCCGCTCAAGCCTAGCAGAGGCTTTGCAGTCAGTTCCCCATATCTCTTGGGGACAGTTATATTTACAAATGTCAGGGTCTTTCTGGCCACAGAGGTCTGGAGGCTGGTTATGCAAATGAGCTCATGAGTCCACCAGCACCTGGGAGGCGGGGCCCATACGTGGCCCCTCCCAGCTAGAGGGGCCAGCTTGGTACTTACCTGGCAGCTCCCGCAGCCGCCTCTCATTAGTGAGCGCTACATCATCTTGGTGAGTACAGAGTCTCGTGGCCACAATTCCGTCTCGCCCCACGTTGTGGGCAGCTGTGGCTCTGAGCTGGCGGGTGACCTCATCGGAGCACCTGTGGAAGCTGGATTGTCAGAGCTTTCTGTACACCAGAGAAGGTGGGGGGCTGGGGGGAGGGGGAGCGGTATGGCCTGAGCACCAGACTATGAAACCAAAAAAAGGGTACCACAGAAAGATGGTACCCTGAAGGCCTGCCAACTTGGCCCTTCTTTACTTGGACCCCAGATATGATAAAGGAACATGAGGTAGGGGTACTAGGTTGTGATCACAGGGGTACCCCCTTTCCTGGATCCCCCCCTGGGAGAAGCTAGCTACCCTTCCATCACTGCCCTTGAGGACTGCTAGAGAGGATGAGTGTAGACCAAAGGACCAGGAAAAAAAAAAAGGGTTTCATGGGATTTTCTGCCTATGCTGGCTTTGAACCATGATCCTCCGATCTCAGCCTCCTGAGAAGCTAGAATTACAGGTAGGTATGAGCCACTGGCACCTTGCTTTTCTTCTTCTTGGCATGGGGCTTAAACTCAGGGCCTGGGTGCTGTTCCTGAGGTTCTTTTGCTCAAAGCTTATGCTCTACCACCTTGAGCCATAGTTCTACTTCTGGTTTTTAGGTGGTTAATTGGAGATGTCTCACAAATTTCTTGCCTGGGCTGACAGAACTGGGTCCTCATATCTAGCCTCCTGAGTAGCTAGGATTTCAAGCATGAGCCATTGGCACCCAGCTTCTAGCCTCTAGTACTGTTTTTTGTCTTTGCCCTACCTTGGGCTTGCCCTCAGGACCTGGGCACTATCCCTGAGCTTCTTTTGCGCAAGGTTAGTACTCTACCACATGAGCCACAGCATCACTTCCTTCTTTTTCTGTTGATGTGGTATTGAGGAGTCAACCCAGGACTTCATGCATGCTAGGCAAGCACTCTACCACCAACCCACATTCCCAGCCCTATTTCTATGCTTTCTGTGTGTGTTGTTGTTTGGAGAGCATGTCCCATTATTTATTTAACCAAAACTGGCTTCCAATTCTTCTTCTCCCCTCCTACCCCCCAAGGGTCTGGTACTTGAGCTCAGGACCTAGGTGCTATCCCTCAGCCTCTTTGTGCTCAAGGCTAGCACTTTACCACTTGAGCCACAGTGCCATTTCCAGCTTTTAATGAGTAGTTTATTGGCAATCAGAGTTTCACAGATCTGGGCTGGGAAGTTGGCTCAGTGGCAGAGCGCTTGCCTTGCATGCCTGAGGCCCTGGGTTCGACTCCTCAGCACCACATAAGCAAAAAGAAAAAAGCCGGAAGTGGCGCTGTGGCTCAAGTGGTAGAGCGCTAGCTTTGAACTGAAGAGCTGAGGGACAGCGCTCAGGCCCAGAGTTCAGGCTACACAACGGGACCCCCCAAAAAAAAACAAAAAACAGAGTTTCACAGATCTTCCTGCCTGGCTTCAAACTGTAATCCTCAGATCTCAGCCTGTTGAGTAATTAGGATTATAGGCCTGAGCCACCAGCACCTGGCTTGGCCTGAAAATTTTTTTTAAAAAAAATTTTATTGTAAAAATACTGTATACAGGGGTTACAGTTACATGAGTAAGGTAATGAGTACATTTCCTATTACGCATTGTTGCCTCCTCCTTTGTTTTTTTGGCCTGAAATTCTTAATCATCCTGCCATAGCCTCATGGGTGTTGGGATTACATATGTGTTTCCCTGATTGGCACCATAACACTTTTATCTTGTGCCAGCCCTAAAGCTTGAACTCAGGGCCTGGGCCTTGTTTTGTTTTGGTTTTTTGTTTTACCAGTCCTGGGGCTTGAACTCAGGGCCTGGACACTATCCCTGAGTTTCTTTTGCTCAAAGCTAGTGCTCTATCACTTGAGCCACAGTGCCACTTCCAACTTTTTATGTTTATGTGGTGATACTGAGGAATCGAACCTAGGACTTCATGCAAGCACTGAGCCACATACCCAGCCCCAGGGCCTGTTCTTGTCCCTGAGCTTTTTTGCTCAAGTCTAGCACTCTACCACTTTAGCCACAACTCCATTTCAGGCTTTTGGTGGTTAATTGGAGATATGAGTCTCACTGACTTTCCTGCCCAGGCTGGCTTCAAACTGCAATCCTCAGATCTCAGCCTTCTGAGTAGCTAGGATTACAGGTGTGAGCAACCGGTACACAGCACCATAACACTTTTTTTTTTTTAATTGTTGTTATGGGGCTTGAACTCTGGGCCTGGGTGCTGCCCCTCAGTTCTTTCAAGGCTAGTGCTCTATCACTTGGGCCACAGCGCCACTTCCGGCTTTTTCTGTTTATGTGGTGCTGAGGAATCAAACCCAGGGCCTCATGCATGCAAGGTAAGTACTTTGTCATTGAGCCACCTTCCCAGCCCACCATAACACTCTTGACTACAGTAGTGTGGCTTCAGTTGACCCTGCTTCTGACCACAAGCATCTCTCCTTTTGCTCTACTCCAACACATGCTTGTATCTTCCTCCCACAGCCTATTCTCTATCCTCCATGGCCCACCTGCCCAGCCTTATGGCCTGCAGCAAAGAGATGAAAGTCTGGTCTGCCTGCCTCCACACCTCAGTCAACTCCAGGGTCACTGGCACACATCTCTTCCAGCTCTTGGCCTGGTGAGATCAGGGGTAGGGGAAGATCAGCAAGCACAATAGAACCCTCCCCCCATACATACACACACACACAGGGGACAGGCCCAGGAGTTGAGTGCACACTTGGAAACAGAACTGAGGGCTCTGAGAGCCTTTGGTCACTGGCGGCAGCTGCAGGAAATCCCCACAGATGATGAGTTGGATCCCACCAAAGGGCTTGTTCTGCTGCCGAACGGCTCTGGAAGAGAGCAGGGAGATGGGGGTGGGGGGGTAGGGGTGGTGCTTTAGAAACCAGGTGGGCAGATCCCTCTAGAGTCTTCTTCTCTAACTGTCCTTGCTGCAGGAACTGACCTGGCCACGGCTTCCAGCTTGTCAAACAAGTCAGCCTCCACCATGGAGATCTCATCAATGACCAAGCGCTGGCAGGTCAGCCAACCTTGCCGCACGCCGGGCCGCTGGGCCAGGGCTACGCACTGAGCCAGAGGAGCCTGGCCTGAGCCAATACCTGTGAATCACACTATTCAGCCTGGACTGAAAGACACCCCAAGGCTTCTGATCACCCTGATCTCTCCCTCCCTCAATCCCCTTTGCCCTGAGTTCAAGCCCAGGGGTTTCCCCTATTTACCTGCAAAGGCGTGGAGGGTGGTGCCCCCGATGTGGCAGGCTGCCACCCCAGTGCTGGCAGTGGCCACAGTGCCTGTTGGGGGCAGTGAGCCCAAGATACGCTTCAGCAGATAGGACTTCCCGGTGCCTGTGCAGAGGGCAAAGTCAGAGCCACCTGCTTGCTCCTCCATCCTGCCCTCCCTCCTCCCTTCCCCCCTACCCCTACTCCCTATTACCTGCGCTCCCAGTAAAGAAAACACTCTGGCCTTTCAAAACAGCCCTCAGCACAGCAGCCTGTTCCTCAGACAGCTGTGGCTTGGAGCGGGGCAGATTCAGCCTCTTCACAGGCAGAGGCCACTTTGGGGTTTCCTGGGAGGGAAATGAGGGTGTCTTAGAACCTCCGGCCATCCTTTGGGTGTGTGTGCAATGCACACCTGGTGTTCTTTCTTTGTCCCTTTCAAACACTTATTTGTTTGTTTACTATTTAGGGCGAGTATTGGGGCTTGAACTCAGGGCCGCACACTCTCATCTCAGCTTTTTCTACTCAAGTCTGGTGCTCTACAATTAAGCCACAGCTTCACTTCTGGCCGTTTGGTTAATTGGCATGGACTTACCTGGCCCAAGCTGGCTTCCAATGGTGATCCCCAGATCTCAGCCTTCTGAGTAGCTAGGATTAAAAGTATGAGCCACCAGCACCTGGCCCTCTACCATCTGTTAGCTTCACTCCTTAGAAATCTTGGGCAGCTCTGGTTCATCTGGAGATCTTGTTAGAAATTACTGAAGTCCAGGTCTTGCTTGTGCCCTGAAGACCCCTAGTGTGGATCTTCCTTCAGCTTCTTCTCCTGAGATCCTTAACCATTCTGGTCCAGTCATCCAACTTACCTTCCTACATTATCTTCCTAGCACAAACTTGTCTCTCACCCAAGCAAAACCCTGCCTGAGTTGGGCTTCAATAGCTCATGCCTATAATCCTAGCTACTCAGGAGGCTGAGATCTGAAGACTGCAGTTCAAAGGTAGGCTAGATAGGAAAGTCTGTAACACTCTTATCTCTAATTAGCTAGCAAAAAGCCAGAACTGGAGGTGTGGCTCAAGTAGTGGAGCACCAGCCTTGACTAAAGATGTCAAGGGACAGCACCCAGGACCTGAGTTTAAGACCCAGTACTAGTACACACACAAGAAAGGAAGGAAGGGAGAGTGGGAAGGAAGGGAGAGAGAAAGAGGAAGGAAGGAAGG